GTTTAAGTATGCGATCTCTTCCTGGTTTAAGTTTATCTTTTGAATTTTGGTACTTCAGGAGTTAATCGTAGGAGCAGGTCTCGATAAGTGGGATTTTATTCCGTAATAGAGAATAACCATATCCTTGTTGCTCCCTGTCAACTCAAACGTGTATTCCTCACAAATTTGAGGTATTATGAATCCCTGCTATTGAATTTGAGCTTTGGAGAGTACAAATAAGGACAAACTAGTATTGTTGCAGCTGCTTTGTTAAAATTCTGGCGGCTGGTTTATACTTCCAATAGCTGCGTTTTTTTATTATAAAAAATAAGTAGTCTTCCTTAGCATCTTATGCACCCAGAGCCGTAAGAAGCAATTTAGGAATTCTAGCAGAGCAATATTCTTTACTTTTAAAGACTTGCTAAATTACAGTAAGTTCTAACTCTACTATATATTTACTTAAAGAGTTTTAAGTGAAAAGTTTATCGCAAGACGTTATCGAGGTGCCACATTTATCTGAGTATTTTGAGTTCAGCTGTTATCAGGTAAGTTCAATACCACCTGTACATGTTTGTTCAACCAAATGAAAGAAAGAAGTCTGGTTGATTTTTAGTAGATGATTTTAGACTATTTGCTATTATGTGAGCTTGGTGAATTATTTGTTGAGTTATTGCAATTGTTGTATTAAGTTATGTTTATTATCTGGCATAGTCAAGATTATGTCAGTACTTTATTTCAAGATTTTAATGATGTTTTTACCCAAACGTCACTATAAAAAAGAACTAATATTTAAAGTGAAAGATCAGGTGATATGTACTCGGGAACAAGTTCCCTCAGATTATCAGTTTCAGAGAGTCCGATATGTATAGTGGGTCGCTCCCCTGAGCTGTCGGATTGGCGCCTCTGAGTACATATCACGGGCCCACAGTTAAAATTAGCCACAAAGAGTTTTACAGAAAGTTATGAGATCCCTTTCAAAAAGTTTTACAGAAAGTTATTTTTGAGATCTCTTTCAGAAAATTTTACATAATGTTTTGAGAGAAAAAATTTGAGATCTCTCTAGTAGTTTTGAGAAATTATTTTAGAAAATATTTTCTTTTGGGATCTCTCTCGGAATTGATTCGAGAAGTTTTTTGTTAGTTGTTTGTTTAGCGCATGCTTATAGCCTAAAATTATCCATTGATAAATTAGCATAGACTTCTCAGATATTTTTGTGGATCAATAGTGACTTACTAAGCCTAAAGCTTATCAGTTTTCTTTCTTCGCATGTACACATACTAAAGGTAAGGCCAATGCCTAGGAAGATGATGAGGGAATGGAACGCGTGCCAAGATGAGTTAACGGGAACGACCTTGGCGGCATCTAGCTAGTTATTATTATTACTTTATTTCAGTATTTCAATGTTTACAATAAAGGGATTTTTATTTATGTATTTATTTGGGGATTTGAAGTTTGAATAAATCCTGGATCCAGGGGGTTATCACATTTGCCGGTGATAACTAGATTTTATTGAGTTTTATTTGGAGTTATATTTGAGTTTTTATCAGAGTTATTTCTTAAACAAACGGCCGTTATATTGCAGTTTATTTTTAAAAGTAGGATGCTAGTGTAACGTTTCCTTTAACCCTGAGAGGGGTGTTACAGTTTCTCTTAAGTTAGCATCTTTTTATACACAAAGATGTCTAACTTAAGGCTTACAAGAGAGCTAATGGGTTGAAATACATTTGTGGCTCGTATTACACATTTAATTAATAACTATACAAATACAAAGATATTTAACTAGATTGAACACCATAATATGTTCCCAACAGATGAGAAGATTGACGAGGAAACAAAGATATATGAGAGTATGTGACAAATATGATAAACTGTATGCTGTAACATAAAAGGAATAAGAAGCGAGGAGAACCAAAACTAATAGATGTAATAGATAAATGTAACAAATTGTAGAATTAGTTATATCCAATTGTATGTATTTTGTGTAATTTTTATATGTTGTTTTGTTTCTTTTTGTTGCACCGCATATGTTACATTTTGTTGCATATTGTTGCATCGTGTTGCATGTTGTTGCATCGCGCTGCTTTTTGTTTTATGTTGTTTATTGGTTTTATTATTAATTTTGATAAATGTAATACATAAATGTAACAAATTGTAGAATTGATTATATCCACCTTATCAATCAATTTTTGGGGGACCCTATTTTTGGTTTTGTCAACCTTATCAATCAATTTTTTCAGCATATACGAAATTTTTATTTTGCACACTGAATTTTACAATGATTAAAATAAACAAGGTTTGGGTTAGTTTTCTGTTTGAATTGGTTGAAGTTAGGGTGTGTGTGGAACTGATTCTGCTTCTGCTTATTTTTTAAAGTAGAAGCAGAATCAGAATCAGTTTTCAGAAGCTGGTCACCTCAGCTTCTAAAAAAACTGATTCTAGGAGTAAATTAGGTCACCTCAGAATCACTTCTGCACTTTCATCCAAACACTCCAATTTCTGCTTGTGCTTCCTGAACAAGTAGAAGCAATTTTAAGAATCAGATTCAAACACCCAAACACTTTACTACACATGACAATTTTAGCTACTTTTTTCATATAAAGTTTTGCAAATTTTAGTATATTTAGTCAAATCAGCGCTTTCATCTAGAAATTCATCAATTTCGTTATATTTGGCCAATTTATGTGTTACCGAACTAACTCTAAATAACATTCTAATGAAAAAGATGTCTAATATATGATATTATTGTCATAGGATAACCCGGCTAACAATTGAGGGGGAAAATCACGTCTCTCATATGTAATGTTTTTAGTTATAAGATAAGTAGGCTAACATTTGATCGGAGGAATTTTATCTCTCATATGTAGTGATTTTAGGTATAAGAAGATAAACTTGCTAATAATTGAACGGGAAAATTTTCTCTCGCATATGTAGTGTTTCAAGATATAAGAAGATAAGTTTGCTAACAAATGCGGAAATATTGAGCAAGAACATTTTCTCTCTCATATTTAGTTCTTTTTGGTATTATATATAAAAGATAAGTTTACTAACAATTGATCGGGATGACTATTTCTCATATATTGTTCTTTTAAGTATTCCTTATAAGATAAGTAGGCTCACAGTTGATCGGGATAATTTTCTCTCTCACATGTAGTGCTTTTAGATATATGAAGATAAGAAGATAAGTTTGATAACAATTGAGTGGAAGAACTTTTTCTCACATATGCAGTTCTTTTAAGTATGATGATAATCCAGTTTAGCTAACAATTGAGCGAGATAATTTTCTTTCTCATAAGTACTGCTTTAAGGTATAAGAAGAAGATAACCAGACCGGACCGAGCGGTTCAACCCGAAACCCAGCCATCCGATCCCTGAACCGATCTGATTGAGTGTAAACTCGCAAATATGCACAAAACCGTAATTAACCGCAACATAACCTTTAGGTACTCCCCCGTCCCTATATTATACTATCGTATCTTCAAATTTTCCTTTTTCTTCCGTCCCAAAATTATCCCCTCTTTTCCTTTTTGATAAATAATTTGTTGTTCATAGCAATTCTTATACATTTTTATACATTTATCTCGGTTTTGCACAACTCTTCACCACACAATATACACTATCTTAATTTGTGTACCATGTGTACTTGAGGAGATAATATAGGGATAAAGCGAGTATAAGATAAGACGGTTAACAATTTAGCAAGATAATTTTCCTTCTCATATGTTAGCACTAATTTAACTAATGAGTAGCAAGTTCTTATTTAACAAATACCATTAATTTTAATATTTATTGTATTCACTTAAATTTTTTACACTCACTTAGTAACTCCCTTTTTTTTAGAATAATAGTTAATTTTAAAATTAACTTAATCATGAAAATTAATAAGTAGCAAATTCTAATGAGTGATGTCAATTAATTTCCCCTAATATACTCTTCATTGAGTATTTATTATATTTATATGGGCTTATACTTTATGGTATTAACTCATATACTCTTTTTTTTTGAAAATGTAGAATCCTAAGAAGTTATTTTTATTTTAATATTTAATTAGATCATGAGTACAAATATATGCATCAACTACTCTTTCTCGTGCGTATTCACGAGTATTATTCTAGTTTCTGTTTAAAGTCTCACCCCAACGTAGCTTTAGAATATTCATTCACTTATTTTTTTACTACTCCCTCCGTCCCGAAAAGGTTGACCAAAGTTGACTTTCACGTGAATTAATAAAGTAAAAACTGTGTGATTGAAATTTGTGCAGAGGAGAGAGAATTAATTTTAGACACATATTCCTTACTTTAAATGGAAATGATAATTTTTTTTGGGACATCCATAAAAGGAAATTTGGCCAACCTTTTCGGAACGGATGAAGTATAATTTATAAATAAATTAGTTATTTGATTTTAAGAAAAGTCTGCGTTATGAAAACCAAAGCTATATTGACCATTATACCCCCCCAACCGAAGCTATATTGACTATTATGGGGGTGTTTGGATCTGATTCTTAAAACTGCTCTCGCTCATTCAGGTAGCAGAAGCAGAAGTTGGATTGTTTGGGTGAAAGTGTAGAAGTGATTCCGGTGCTCTAATTTACTCCTAGGATCAGAGGCCGTTTGGCAACCCTCATTTTTGGCTTATCAGGCTTATCGGCCAATTTTTTTACCAAACACGTAAATTTTGTTTTCGCGCGCTGAATTGTGTAATAAGCCGAAAAAGTAAGGTTGGAGTTACTTTTCTGGCTGTATTGGCTGAAGTTACTGTAGATGACAGTTTTAGCTATTTTACATATAATTTTTTCTTTATTTTATTAATAAAATATATTTTAAAAATATTTTTTTATTGTATCAGCAGAATCTGCCAATGCAGCTACTTCAGATAGAACTTCATAAATTTCAGCAGAAGCAGTCAAGATAACTGATTTTCGTGCTGCCAAACGGGCTCTCATTTTTTTAGAAACGGAGGATGACCAACTTTTGAAAAAACTGATTGTGATTCTACTTTTACTTCCAAACACCCTCGTGCCTTCATCAAGTAAACTAACCCAGCGGTAGTGCAACGTGGCCTGCACCCAATGGTAGTGTTCACGAAATTGGGAGGAATGCGAGTTGTAGGAGAGATTAGGTGAAGAAATCGAAGGCCGAGGTTGAGCTGAAAATGAAGTTTTGTTATTTACACTTAGATCACCTAATTGTAGAAATCGCACTTGTTCTCGATCTCTTGATGTCTCCGCCCACCTGTTTTCTTCTAAATAAATAAATCTACATCCCTGCCTCTTTCTCTCTTTGTACTTTTTGCCTCTTGAGCTCATTGATTCAATCAAGCACCAGGAAAAAGAGGTAGAAGAAGAAGAAGACGCTCTTGGAAATGACTGGTATTGTTCAAGGGATTGGTGCCTTCACTTCCGTCTATTCAGCCAATCCTTTCAACTCCAAGAAATTCCACATCTTTTCTTCCAGATCTTTCTCAGGTTTGCTATTCTTTCGATTCGATTTTATTGAATTCCAGATGCGGATTTTGTTTGAATGTGTAACATGTTCAGTTAATTATATTTTTTGCGTATTGTTGTTGTTTCATTGGCTTGAAAAGATGCTGCCTTTTTGTAAACCATTTTGTATTTATCTTATTCAAATTGTAAATCTGACTTTGCTCTTTATACTTTTTTATTTTAATACACTGGGTAATTTTCTTTATAAAATTGTGATTACTCTAGAGAGGAAAGACAACATTTTCGTGGTTAGATGTGGAAGAAGTTTTTACTCTGATCTAAGCAGTAATGGCAAAAGAGCTCAACAGTTTATCTCCAATGCTGTGGTGGTTAGTATTCTATTACTAATGGTTAAATTGTAACACATTTTTAAATTTCTTTAGTCTCGTAAGTTCACTTGATCTTAATTTATTTATCAAAATTGTAATTGCTATTGTAGACGAAGCAGGATAATTCAGCAACTTCAACGTCATCCAAGCCAGGGTATATTTCACTTTCCTTTTCACAGTGCATTTATCTGTTGTTCAACAGTTCAATCATATTCGCTTCTTAATATCTGAGGAAAAAAATGAGAATTCTTTTTTTAGGACACTAAGAAAGAATAGCTGTCCTATAAATATAGTGATTTTTTATAAAAAGAATAGAATTACAGAACTCTTTATTTTGCCCACGTGAAGGACAACTGTGAATTAATGTGTACCTTATTAGTGATGTGAATAATGTGTGTTATTAGCTCTTTTGCGTGTTGGGTCATTTATGCAGAAGTTGATGAATATGATCATATATTGTAATTCTTCAGTTCAGTTAACACAAGTGTGACAAGAATCCAAGAATTGTGCTGGTTGTAGAACAGTGATTGTTTATAATGCTATTTTAACTACAACGTCATATGTCGATTCATGTTAGCCGATCCCAAACTCTTTAGTCTTTAGGTATTAAGGTTTGGATGTTGTTGCATTGTTTCTTGTGCTATGTCTCATCAAAGGACAAGAAGGCTGCTTCTATTCCAACCAACTATGTAGTATAATGTAAGTCATCACTCATCAGAATATGATAAGTAAGAAATTATTATTCAGAACAGACATTTGCACCCCAATCCAAGGGCCCATATGGCCATATCTGTCCATCCTCCTAAGGATGAGTTAATCACGGTACATTATATATCAGGTTTCTCATAATTATTTCCTTTACACCTTTGTCCCTGATAAATCCAATTAATGTTTTCTTCTGCTGATATGGTGCAGAAGCTTATCTTCATATCTTAAGCAGTTAATCTCTTTTTATATATTCTCAAAGGATTATACCTGTATATATATGTGGAAGAATCCCCCATAATCAGGTTACCTTTAAGTATTGCAATATGGCTTTTGTTTATGCTGTTCTGTTTTTCTAAATTTGTGTTCATATATACTTTGTGTTGCCTGTTATGCATCTAAACAATGTTTTTTAACTTAGACGTTAAGTGCCTATTTGGTAGAGAGTTTTGGAGGGGTTTGAAATGGTGTTCTCTTTAAGAACGATTTTTTCCGGTTTGAAATGTTCTCTTTAAGAAGAAGCATTCTCCAAGTCAAATTGATTACTTATTATAATTAATATTATTATGCTATGTTGTATCAATTCATGTTAGCCGAGCCCAATATCTTTTGAGACTAAGACTTGGATGTTGTTGTTTGTTGTTTGCTGTTGTTGTACTATGCTATGTTGATGAAAACAATAATCCAACAAATGCTACCAAATGAGGCCAAATACAAAGCTCTTTCAACTCTTCTTCTCCAAAACCTCCATCCCAATGGAACCTATATGTACTGTTAATAAATTCAAACTTTGCATTTTGTAGACATGAACTTTTGCTGTTTGAAGCCCTGAATGAAGGACTTGATGAAGAGATGGCGAGAGATCCAAGTGTGTGTGTAATCGGCGAAGATGTAGGCCACTATGGAGGCTCCTACAAAGTGACCAAAGGCATGGCTGAAAAGTATGGTGATCTAAGAGTCCTCGACACCCCAATTGCTGAGAACGGTTTCACCGGCCTTGGCATAGGAGCCGCCATGGCTGGTCTCCGCCCTGTTATTGAGGGCATGAACATGGGATTCCTCCTCCTTGCATTCAACCAAATTTCAAACAACTGCGGAATGCTCCATTATACATCCGGCGGTCAGTTCAAGATACCTGTGGTGATCCGTGGGCCTGGTGGGGTGGGCAGACAGCTAGGAGCCGAACACTCCCAGCGTCTGGAGTCATATTTCCAGTCAATCCCCGGAATCCAAATGGTGGCATGCTCAACCCCTTACAATGCTAAGGGGTTGATGAAGGCAGCCATTAGAAGCGATAACCCTGTGATTCTGTTCGAGCATGTTTTGCTATACAACCTTAAAGAAACAATCCCAGATGAGGAGTATGTGCTGAATCTAGAAGAAGCCGAGATGGTGAGACCCGGGGAACATGTCACTATCCTGACCTATTCTAGGATGAGGTACCATGTCATGCAGGCTGTCAAGAGTCTTGTGGAAAAAGGGTATGACCCTGAGGTGATTGACATCAGGTCACTGAAACCTTTCGATCTTTATACGATCGGGAACTCGGTTAAGAAAACTCACCGGGTGGTCATTGTGGAAGAGTGCATGCGGACTGGTGGGATTGGGGCTAGTTTGACTGCTGCTATTACGGAGAATTTCAATGACTACTTGGACGCTCCTATTGTGTGTTTGTCATCACAAGATGTGCCCACACCTTATGCTGGCGTGTTAGAGAATCTGACCGTCGTACAGCCTCCACAGATTGTTACTGCAGTAGAACAAATTTGCCAGTGATTTTGTGTTGAGAAATATATGTGTTTTCATTTCAGTGTTTTGCTGTATGTTTAGTTTTGTTGAGATTGTGTTTCAGAACTTATTTGTAACTTTTATTTTAATTCTTAAAAGGACTTTATTTGGATTTTGACAATTAATTCTATGCATTGTAAGAATTTGACATTAAATACAACTACAACATTCGAGCCTTCATCCCAAAAGAATTTGGGGTCGGTTAACATTAGGAGTGGACCGGACCTGGTCCGGTTCTGGCTTGGGCCTGGGCCCAGCCGGGCTTGGATGGTTTTGGGTAAGGCCCAGGACCGACTCGGGCCGGTTCCGTTTTTTTTGTGTTTTCTTATTTAATTCAACCCCCACTCCCCATCCCCCCCACCCCCAAACTCCTCGGAAACACCCAGCCCAGCCCACCTAAACCCAGCCCAACCCCCCCCCCCCCCCAAAAAAAAAAAAAATTAGAGCCCGAATCGAGCCCAGACCTGCCGGGCCGGTTCACCCATTTTGAGTCCTAGAACCGCCCTCGGTTACCCCCTCAGGCCGGGCCTAAGCCTGGTATCGGTAACCCGGGTTGGGCCGGTCCTGCACAGTGGCAGGCCGGGCGGTTCTTGGGCTGGTCGGACCGGACCGGATCCATGGCTAGTTAACATGAATCGATTCATGATATCAGTGCGAAAAGGAGAAGAAGTTAAAGGCAAGAGGATAAAATAAAATGGATAAAATAAAAATAAATGTAAGCTAACAATAACATAAGAATATAAGAAAGATAAAAAAAGAAAAAAAGATAAAAAGGTATAAAAAGATACTCCCTTCATCTCGAAAAATGGTCACCTTTCTATTTTAACTTTTTAAGCAATCCTTTATACATGTACTCCCTAAATAGTCCTCACCACAAACACCTTAATCATTTCATATTATCCCTCTCTCATCTCTCCCACTTTACCCTTCGCTTCTCATCTCCTCTCATCTGGCCCTTCATCTCTCATCTCACCTTCCTTAAATTGACCGTTCATCTATCATCTCGCTCTGTCTAACCCTTGAAAACCTCTGATTTCTCCCCCGAACCTTCATGTGTGGTTGAATCCTTCTTATGTCCAAACCCTCATCTTCATCAACCTTATCCGTGTTTGTAGGCGTTCACCTCCGACCTCTGTCACTATCATATCCATGAGTCATCTGAGTCATAGGTTTGCTCTGTCGTTGCCGATACTTGTGTTGATATCCTCATGCAACCCTTTGAACCCAACAAATCTAATTCGTCTGTCAAGATCAAAGAATCTAGGGTTTTGGGAGGCTCAAATTTGCCCAATCTCTCCATGCATGTTGAAACGATGATGGTTGCAGATTACTTTGATGCCTCAGACACTTATGACGGTGTTGACGAGGAAGATGAAGGGGAGGAACTCACTTTTGGGATTCGGGCGGAGGGGATGGAAGGGCTTCGAAGGAATGAAGAAGAGATGGGCCAAGCTCCTGAAGAAGGCGATGACATTGAAACAACCTCTGCTCATTACCCACCCTTGGTTGCTTCGTCGTACTATCAGTGGACGCCTGTACGCAAAGCTTCATTAGATAGCTGGCTCAAGCTATTTATGCCTAAGTAGGATCTTAAGCTTTGGGACAAGCAGTGGCCGTAGGGGAGTACTCTTTATAATCCTAAGTTGTTTATTTGGTAGATTTAACATGCATTATGGATTATTTCCTTTTGGTAATGAAAAACGTGTTTTGGACTTCATATCTTCTTTGTGTTCTGGGTGTGTTAGCCACCCCCAATTGCTATGGGTTAAGGTGGCTGACCTTTGTAGACTTCTTCTGTTTGTTTGGTAATGATGAATGGCTTTAGTGCAAAGGGAGTTCAATTTAGTGTTGGTGTGTAAGCCACTCCCAATTCCTATGGGTTAAGGCGGCTTACCTTCCTACATTTATGTGTGGTTTGGTAATGATAAATGACTTTAGTGTATTTTGGAGTTCAATTTTTTGTTGGTGTGTTAGCCACCCCCATTTCATATGGGTTCAGGCGGATGCTCTTCCTTCACTTATGTGTGTTGTGGTATTTATGAATGGTTGAGCATTTTGTGGAGTTTTATACAGTCTTGGGGTGCACTTCCTTGTCATGCGTGTCTAGGTCTCCTAATTGGGTTAGGTCATGAAATAAGCAATAAAGTGCAATACAAAAACCCGTGCTTGACTAATTACAACACTTCTTTCGGTCTGTCACACACAACATCCTATACCCCTGCCCAAAATTTGTAGTGAAGCAAAAAACTAATGAAATGTACCAAAAGAGGTAAGGGGCCTAACATTTACACAAAAAATATTCAACTAGACCCATGTTAAGTGATGAAGGTGCGGATCCTCCTCCTCAACTTCACCAGTGAGTAGGCTATTATCAGTGTCTTCGGTAGATGGTCCCAATTGTGTTGTCCTTAGCTGGAGTTCTACAATTGCATCATCGTACACTACCTTGTCTAAAAACACTGAACTTGGTAGCCGATTAAGCCCAGGAATCCCCGTAATTTAGTTTGAGTCATTGGTGTGGGCCACTCAAGCATTGACGTGACTTTTGCAGGATCAACCTTTACTCCTTCCACTGTGATGACATGGCCTAAGTAGAGTAACTCAGGAAGCCCAAAAGCACATTTTGAAAACTTGAGATAGAACTTATGCTGCCGGAGCACATGAAAAGCTATTTCAACATGTTCCAAATGAGCTTCCCATGTTGGGTTATATATCAAAATATCATCGAAGAAAACTAGAATAAATTTGCGCAAATACGACCTAAACGCATCATTCATGAGAGCTTGGAAAGTGGACAGTGCGTTGCATAAGCCAAACGGCATGACCAAATATTCATAATACCCATTGAGTGTCCGAAAAGCTGTTTTTTCTATATCCTTGGAACACATGCGTATTTGGTGGTAGCCGGAACGGAGGTCAAGTCGGGTAAAACATTTGGCGCCATGTAATTCGTCCAGTGTATCGTCAATGTTGGGTATCAGAAAGCGGTCCTTTATAGTGCAGGCATTGAGTGCTCTATAATTGGTGCAAAACCACCATGACCCATCTTTCTTCTTTACTGGTAAAACTAGGGATAAATAGGGGCTTGTACTTGGATGAATAATACCTCGTTAAGCATTTCTTTTACTTGCTCAGCAATCTCATTTTTTTTGATAATGAGCATACCGGTACAGTCATACGTTAACGGGTCCCGCGTATGCTTTAGTGTAATATGGTGCTCGATGTTGCGTTTGGGGGGTAACTGTGCATGTTCTTGGAATTAATCAGCATGCTCCTCTATCAAATTCCACATATCGGTAACAATCTGTCCACCATCCTCTGGGGCTAAAACCCTCAATAGGAAGCAAACGTTGTCTTTCCAGTAGCTCGTCACAGTGCATAGCCATCAATTGTGTTCCGTGGCTACTAATTCCTCTCACAGTATGTGTTTGTTGGTTCCATGTGAAAGACATTGTCTTGTTCTTCCAATCATTAACCACAACACCAAGTTGTTCCAGCCATTGGACGCCCAAAACTGCATCAACACCCATCAACGGTATGGAAAAGAATGTGACCTCAAAGGCTACATCTTGTATCTGTAGCGGCACCCTATCAAAACGACCCCGACATTTGAGAGGAGCCCATTGGCAACCCTCACGTGAAATGGTTGCATGGGGGAAAATGGTAATTGCAGAGTTTCAACGAGTTTATCTTGAAGAAAGTTATGTGCGGAGCCGCTTTCAACTAGAATAATCAGTTCCTTTTTCCCAATAGTAGCCTTAAGCCGTTGTCCAACCCGTTAAGGCATGTAATGAAATTTCCGGTGGGCTGTTCTCATGAGGAACTTCCTCCTCCTCTGGTGCTGCATCTCCTCATTCTAACAAAAGGATCTGTGGTTGTTTACAACGGTGTCCTGGAGTGAATGGCTCGCTGCATGAAAAACAAAGTCCTAGCTGCCGTCGGTGTTGCATTTCATCCCATGGTAATCGTTTGATGGCTGTGGGATTTTTGTTTCGCTCCAGTTTTGGTGGTGGACAGAGTTGTAATACCCGAGATTAATTTAAGAGGATTAATAGTACTACTCATACCAACAGAGGTGCATCTCCTTTTAAGGGAGCTCATCACCCAAGAACTTCAAAGTTAAGCGTGCTTGGACGGGAGTGGTCTTGGGATGGGTGACCCCCTGGGAAGTTTCTCAGGGCGCGCATGAGTGAGGATAAAGTGTGCGTTAAAGGCTCGTGGTGGTTTGTGGGGACAGTACTAGAGGTCAGGAGTAACTACCTCGGGTCTTAGAGGGCTGGGGTGTTACAGGTGGTATTAGAGCAACCCTGCGATAGTGTGCTGACCCGTTGGATATCGGGCAGGCACTTAGCAGGGCGAGATTCTTGGGTTTGATTGATATTGGTTTAAGGGCGCAACGAGGACGTTGCGATCCTAAGTGGGGGTGATTGTAATACCCGAGATTAATTTAACATGATTAATAGTACTACTCATACCAATAGAGGTGCATCTCCTTTTAAGGGAGCTCATCACCCAAGAACTTCAAAGTTAAGCGTGCTTGCACGGGAGTAGTCTTGGGATGGATGACCCTCTGGAATGTTTCTCAGGGCGCGCATGAGTGAGGACAAAGTGTGCGTTAAAGGCTCGTGGTGGTTTGTGGGGACAGTACTAGAAGTCAGGAGTAACTACCTCGGGTCTTGGAGGGTCAGGGTGTTACAAGAGTACTCCCGCAACAAGGTTAGACTTGGAAGCACCAGAACGGTCAAAGGCATCCTCTAAGGTTCGTGGTTATTTTGTCTTTATGTCGAGCCGAATTTCATCCTTAAGTCCTCCAACAAAATAGCCAATCACAAATGGTTCGGGAAGGTTGTCTATCTGATGCCTCAGTTGCTCAAAGGACTCCTGGTAAGCAGTAACATTTGTGGTTTGTTTGAGACGAGAAAGAGCCTCATATGGATCTTCGTATTATGTTGGCCTGAAGTGTACCCGCAAGGATCTCACAAACTCTGCCCAGGAAATTGGGCCTCAGCGCTTAGTCATCCAACGAAACCATTCGAATGCCAATCCTTCTAAATTCATGGCGGCTAAGCCAAGCTCTCGATCGGGGGTCACACCATAGAACTCAAAATACTGCTCCACTTGGTATAACCACCCGGTAGGGTCACCACTCACCACCTGTAAATTTTGGAAGCACCATTTTTGGAT